AGACTGGGAGCCAATTGACAGTGAGTGTGAGGGCCAAAATAAGGAATACTGGGTAAAAGTTGTTTGAGAAGCTGAACTCTCTTTCCCACTCCATACCACTGGACAACTTTCCTCTCCCACCCTGGCAGAAATCTGGAGTTTTATTATCTGGAGAGGGAAAAGCAGAAAGTTTTTGAAAAGAGGGACATCTCACACATTTGAGGATGGGGTTAACCCTACTGAAAACATAGGGACAGAGTAAATTTGTACATACTGAATAAAGATTGCAGAGACTCCACCACTCGTACACACACACCCCTCTTCTCTCACTTGTCTCCCAAAATACTGACAGCCAGACTTCTACCTTTCAGGCAAGATACTGGAAAACTACCAGCCCAACAGGAAAGACGTAAAGATGGTTTCCTGACAAAGCGCTCCTGCCAGATCCCTTTACAGTAAAGCTAAAGTTAACAAGGCCATCCATAGACTCAGATCCTCCAAACAGATCTTCAGTTCTGCACTTTTAACATGAACAGGCAATCAAGGAATATTAGATATTTAAGGAATCCCCCAACATGGATGATATATACCAAATCAGGAAGAAACAACTTGGCGTATACAGAGACAATGCAGGAAAAAGAAAGCTTAACCTATCATTAATATCTTCAGAGAGTTGATAGATGATATTGCAACCATGAAGAACAAGGTTCTTCAAGGTCCTTGAAGAATAAAGAAGTATTCAGAGAACAAAAAAGAGCTCTTGGACATGAAAACATGATAGCAGAAATTAAAAAATACAACAGACAGATTGGAAAATTAAGTTGTGAAAACCTTTAAGAAATAGAACAAAGACAAAAATACAGAGAAGAGGAGAGAAAGATAAGAAAATAGGAGGATCATTCTAGGAGGTACAACACTGGAATCCAATAATCTAGAATGAGAGATGAGAGAAACAGAGGGAAAAATAATCAATGAAACAATTCAAGAACATTTTCCTGGAGTGAAGGACATGAGTTTCCAGATAGAAAAGGCCACCTCAGTGCTAATAACAGTGGGTGAATAGGTATTTCATTATAAAATTTAAGAACACTGGAGGTAAGAGAAGATCCTAAAAACTTCCACATAAAGATAAGGAATCAGAATATCTACCGATTTTTCAAGGGCAACACTGGAAGCTAGAGACAATGGAAATGATTTCTAGTCCAAAATTCTCTATTGAGCCAAATGATTAAGTGAGAGTAGGATAAATACATTTTCAGATACACAAAATCTCATTAAATTTAATCTCTACATACCTTTCTCAGGAAATTACTGGTGGATATGTATGTACAACCAAAGTGATTGAGTAAATAAAGACAAATACATGAAATGCAGGAAACAGGAGATCCAGTGCAGAATTTGTTCACCAGACCTAGGATCTAGCTTGTTCAGATTGGAACAGGTTCGGAAATTTGTGTCTAAAGACACTGCAGGACTCTGTATCTATATGTATTTTTTTCTCCTGGTGTGAACAGGTAGCCATGGTGAAAGCCAATGGAACCTCACTTTTATAAGATCCATAATAATTCTGGCATATGGGTGAGACTGAAAACTGACACATGAAAGAAGTACGTTTTTAATTTGAAGGGTCATACTAAAGACTGGTATCTCTCTTAATTATCTTTGCAAGATCCTTAGTTTAGGCTCTTTTGGTTGCTTAGGTATAGAGTAAAAGCAAATCTGCCTGAATAAGGGGAAAACATACACACAAACACACACCCACATATAAATGTATGTGTATGTATGTATATGTATACACATACTATATATGTGTGTATATATGTATACACATGTTAAACACACATGCACACTTACCTAGAGGCATAGTGTATCTATAGAAAGATGCGTAAGAAGCTGGAGATCAGTGCTGCCTCTTCATGGCTAGGGAAAAGGAATGTGAGGAAGACCTTCATTTCACTATTTATCTCCTTATTCCTTTTGATGTTTTGGACAAAATGCAGGGTAAGAGAGACAGTAGCCTGGGATTATTTGGTTGGTGATTGTCATGTTCTTGGAACGAGGAAATACGGGCTTGAATGAGAAAAAAGTGGGTGGATGCTAAAGCTGGAGGAATCTTTGCCTGGCCTGGTGATGACCAGATGTGGCAGGAGGGTGGGGGTGGGCAGTGGGCGCCAAAGGAAAGGTCAGAGGGCAGTGGTCAGAGATGACTCCTTGCTTTCTAGCCTGGGTTCACAAATGTGAGGACACTGAGTAGATGAAACTGGCTTCAGAATGGCAGAGGGAGGAGGGTGGATTGCAAAAGTATAATAAGGGGAAGGAGTTAAGAGTCGGCAACCGTAGCTCACGTTTTCTCTGACCAAAAACATTCATTGGTCATATCATGTGCCTTATCATCCACAGCTTCTGGACTTATGAGATGATGCAATGGCTTCTGGAAAACTCAGTGATGGGACTTCTGGAGGCACCACCTTGGAAGGCTGAGGTAGTGTAGTGTAAGATGGAGTGTAGGCACTCAACCTGTAACCAGCCAAGATGCGGCCTCTTCCATGGCCAGAAAGCACAAAGCTGGGAAATAAAGAGGTGGAAGGGATGATGATTCACAAAATTTTCCCCCGCTCTGCCACTTACTAAGTTAATGACCTTGGGTAAATCACTTTGACTTCTCTATGCCTATGTTTCCTCATCAGCAAAATGGGCATAATGGCCCAGTACCTTCATCACAGGGTTGTTGTAAGGATTAGATGGGATAGTGAGTGTAAAGGTTTATAAGAATGCCTGGTACAAAATAAACACCAGTAATATTAGCTAGTACTGTTTCACTTTTCACCTTTCTTGGGGTTCTTCCTCTCAGACTTGGAACACAAAAGGCCTAGAGAATTTAATGTACAAAGAATGGATGTTTTCACCAGAGGACATGTTAGTGTCTTATTCAATCTTTATTCTTTAATTTATTCATTTTTTTAATCTAAATTTTATTTTTGGGCTGCATTGGGTCTTCATTGCTGCATGCAGGCTTTCTCTAGTTGCAGCAAGCAGGGGCTACTCTTTGTTGTGGTGCGCGGGCTTCTCATTGCGGTGGCTTCTCTTATTGCAGAGCACAGGCTTTAGGCACACGGGCTTCAGTAGTTGCAGCACGCGGGCCCTAGAGTCCATGGGCTTCAGTAGTTGCAGCACATGGGCTCAGTAGTTGTGGTGCACGGGCTCTAGGGCACGCGGGCTTCAGTAGTTGTGGTGCGCAGGCTCAGTAGTTATGGCACGTGGGCTTAGTTGCTCCACAGCATGTGGGATCTTCCTGGACCAGGGATCAAACCCATGTCCCCTGCATTGGCAGGCGGACTCTTAACCACTGTGCCACCAGGGAAGTCCTTTTTAAACAAATAGTTTTGAAGTACTACCTTAGGTGCCTGGGATCCACTGGTGAAGAAATTAGACACACTCCTGCCCTCACAAAGCCTGGACAGTTTTCTTTTTTCTGTAATTTCCATAATTTCCATAATGACTCTTCTCACATGCCATGTATTTATTTATTTTTAATTGAGATATAGTTGACATATAACATTGTATTACTTTTAGGTGTACAACATAATGATTTGATATAGTGTATAATATGAAATGATCGCCACAATAAGTTAACATCCATCACTACACATAATTACGAATTTTTCTTCTTGTGATGAGAACTTTTAAGATGTACACTCTTAGCAACTTTCAAATATACAATTACATGCATTTATTTTATAATCAAAGTATTTTCAATGAATAAATTTTTATACTAAGCTTTTGTTTAACGTACATGCAAGCACACATTACATGGAATAAAACATTACAAACTGAAAAGCGAGAATCCCTTCCTTAACTTCAGATTTCCTAGTTATCCAGAGAAACAACATCCCTTACCTGACATATGTCTCAGTAACTAGATAAACATAGAATCATATGAGACACAGAGGAAAGGGAAGAGGAGAGGGTTTAGGGTGAGTCAGAGGCTTTTAGCTAGGTGACTGGAGAATGGGGCTACCTTAGAGCTGTTAAGAGGAAGGACATACATTAGGAGGATAGAGGGAGTAATATCAGACTATAAGTACTGTTAAAATAGAAGAAGAAAATTTAGACTTTTACATTATTTTAATAGAAATTTATTGAGAACTGCTCTGTATAAGAATAGATACACGTATATGTATAACTGAATCACTTTGCTATACACCTGACACTATCCCAACATTGTTAATCAACTATACTCCAATATAAAATAAAAAGTAAATAAAAAAACATGTTACAAAACAGCAAGATGCTTAGAGCCTAATGAAGGCAAGGGCAGGGCAGAGCACACAAATGGTACTATTACAAGTACCAGCATGGCTAGCATAGCCATCTATAACCCTTTAGGGTCCTTTATGTAGAATAAGAAGAACTATTATTTCTGGGGCTTTCCCAAAGTTCTCTTTAGGTTTGGACTGAGGCTTCTCCATCCCTTAGTGATGCTGCCTTAGAGCCAGAGTCTCCTAACTCATTTCTACAGGGCTAATATATTCCTCTCTTGCGCCCAGGTTTCCTGTCATTGAGAATGACGCATAGACAGTCCTCAGACACAAGTTTGCTAGCCCTGCTCCGGGCCAACCATCACCTCCTTAGGACATCTGCAGGCTAAGTCAGCCTCTGGGCAATTTGTATTCTGGTCCTTTTAATTCTGCCCCAGCTCCTTCTCTCTCAGCCATTTATTGAAAGAGCCCTAAGCCTCCTTCCACTCACCCCATTATTAAGATGATAGCTCTCCCCCGCCAGCTCTGCTTCCAGCCAGATGAAACATCACAACAACCTGGCTATCATCAAAACCCCTCCCCAACCTCCAAGGAAACTGCAGTCGGCCTTAAGTCCATTTGGACAGACTGTCCATCTGTTGCTCTTCCTATGGCTTGTCGAAGGACTGGACAGACTGAACATTCATGTGTATTTCTGTTGGTCAAGATCTTTCATTTTCTTTCCTGTTTTGAGTATTGCGATCTCTCTCTCTTCGCTCTTGAACAGTTGCCCCAGGCCATCGTCTCAGTCATTTTCTCTGAGAAGAGCAGCAGGGTTTATGGTGCACAGCACTCTCCTGCTGTATCCAGCACTCTTTGCTAAGGCTCGGCAGTAGCTTCTTGGGCAGGTGGATCCTCCTCAACATTAGCAACAGCCCAGATGGTAATGGCTGCAGGACTGGTTCCTTCTCTGTCTCTAATTTCCCAGGTTTTGAGTTGGTCTGCTCATTGTTGTCAGCACACTGGGCCACCACTTTCCTTACCCTCACAGAGGGACAGGAACTCCTTAGCAGAGGGTGGACTTTTCTCAGTAATTACATTATTATAGTACATATTTCTTGATACTTCAAAATATTAATATTAACACTATAAGGCCATAAAATACATAACTCCCACCCGGACTGAAAAGGTAGTTGTTCAGTCACAGGTATACAAGATGGAATGAGGCACTACCTGAGATTCAGAGTAGATAAAAGCCACAATTCCAGGAATTGGGAGTTTTACATAAAACACAATGTATAACATTAAGAAAAGAGACTGAATCTGAAACAGGAGGTGTTAGTCTTACACAGGATTCCTGAGCCAGGAACCAGTTAGGTGGGCTTGACCCACAAGTGTGCTCTGAAATGAAAAGAAACAGTTAAAATCTGCTCCTGGCATGGAGAGCAGAGCTGGCATTGTAGGGAGGCTATTTCACTTAGAGGGAATCATGAAGCCCCCTCTATTATTAATAGTAATATTTTCTTGCCTTCTGGGAAGGCTTAGAGAGACAAGAAAAAGGTCAGTCAAAACTTGAAAAGAAAAGCATATAAAAACCGGATAGTCGTATGGCATTTACTCTTTAATTAAAAATGCGTAGCACTTTTGTCGCCTGAGGCTGTCTCTGAAATGTTAATATCACACTGGGCTTCATCAGATCTTTCAGGTTCTTGGAGTTCTACTCTGGAAAAACAGAGAAAAGAATTCAGTGAGATTTCACAGTAGAGCCACTTTCTCTTTCTAGATTTCAGTGATAGGGCAGAATATAAGGGGACATTGCAATAGCAATGAGGAGAAATAAACTACTGAAGAGAGGTGGAGATGTACTGTCCATACTTCCTAAATTACTATCTTTGATTTTTGTCTGGGCCTGCCCCTGCCCTATGCTGATTCTCTGCTGCCTTCCCTCCGCAGCTCTTCCGGACCACTTCTGAACTAAGTCTGACAGGGCAGGCAAGATCTCAGCACCTGGGCTCACCATCCTGGATTCCGAGACTCACAGCGACTGGTGTATCCAGGTAAGTGCTAGGCACACTGGGAGCTGTGCACCCTGGGATCATGACTTGTGTCTCTGTGACCAGGTTTTTTTTAATTAATTTATTTATTTTTGGCTGCATTGGGTCTTCGTTGCTGCGTGCAGGCTTTCTCTAGTTGCGGTGCGCAGGGGCTACTCTTCGTTGAGATGCGCGGGCTTCTCATTGCGGTGGCTTCTCGTTGCAGAGTGCGGGCTCTAGGCGTGCAGGTTTCAGTAGTTGTGGCTCACGGGCTCTAGAGCGCAGGCTCAGTAGTTGCGGCACACGGGCTTAGTTGCTCTGCGGCATGTGGGATCTTCCCGGACCAGGGCTCAAACCCGTGTTCCCTGCATTGGCAGGCGGATTCTTAACCACTGTGCCACCAGGGAAGACCTGTGACCAGGTTTTTGACTTAGGGTTGCTTTGACCCCATGACTGTGTGACCAGAGCCTTGATATTCTTGAGAGTCCAGTTTCTCAGGGTGGGTGGAGGTACAGACAATCTGATTGCATCATGCTGTGAAAGGATGGATCACCAGGAATCTTTGTGTATTCCTTCATGCATACATTCATTCTTTCAACAAATATTTATTTTTATAACCAAGATATGGAAACAACCTGAGTGTTCACTGATGCATGAATGGATAAAGAAATTGTGATACACACACACATACACACACATACAGTAGACCATAAAAAAGAATGAAATCTTGCCATTTGTGACAACATGGATGGACCTCGAGGGTATTATGCTAAGTGAAATAAGTCAGACAGAGAAAGAAAAATACTATATTATTTCACTTATATGTGGAATCTAAAAATAAATGAATAATAATAACTTTAAAAAATCAGTTTATAGATACAGAGAACAGATTGATGGTTGCCAGAGGTGTGGGGGGGTAAGCAGGTGGGAGAAATGGGTACATTTTTTTTTAGTTTAAATAAATTGAATTTTTTAAAACAATCTGAAAACTTGAACTCTTAAAGAAAAAAAGCACCTCACCAAATTTTGCCTTCCACAGCCCTCGTACGTGAACAAAGGAAAATATAAAGAAAAGGGTATACACACTTCTCCCTATGCCATATTTAGGGTTACTTAAGTGCTGTTCTTATTTGAATTTGATTAGGTAAAGGATCTAGAAAGAAAGCCAAATAAATGAAAAATAAGTACAAATCAAACAAACAAATTATTGCTCAGCTGAAAGCAAACGTAAGAGAAACTAAAGCCCAGAATAATGTTTACTTTTCCACAAAACTCCTTTTCAACATGTTATATACTTATCAAACCATTAGAGTATAAATTCTATAAGTCCTATCATCTTTCAACCAGTATTCACCATGAAAATTACAACTACTGAAAACTGTTAATATTATTAAAAGGCTACTTTCTATAGATCCAAACATATCTGCTGCTGCAGTTTTACAGTTTAAAAAATTTATTGAGCACCTACTATATGCCAGGCACTGTGCTAGGTTCTGGCAGCACAATGATGAGCTTCGATGATATGTTCCCTGCCCTCTATAAAGTTTGATTTAGTTAAGTTTATAGAGTTTAATAATATAATTACACCAGTATATAAGTATAACCTGGTGTTATGAAGAAAAAACACAGGAATCCACATGATACTATAACAGGCTGACACAATCTAGTTTGGGAAGGGTTTTTAAGAAAGTGCAACTTGAGTCAGGATCTGAAGAATGAGGTGAAGAAGTGGCAAAGAACATTCCAAGCACAGGGCACAGCAGATGCAAAGACACTGAGGCTAGAGGGTACCTATTATCACTCCTCACTTATTTATTTATTCATTCCACACATAGAGGACACCCAGGCACTGTGCCAGGTACTGCAGTTACCATGTTGAATAAGATGCAGCCCATGCTCACCACATCAGACCCTTTTGGTATTAATTTTTTACTTGACCACAACTGAACTTGCCATGACCCTTGGGCATTGTGCATAGGGCACACTGCCATCCATTTATAGCTAGGGCATTTCCCTCCAAGTCCTAACTAGTCTCACTTTCCTTTTCCTCTCCATTAGTTCATGTATGCTGAGATCCCAGCATGCCTCAGACCAAGCCTAGTTAAATTATAGACTCTCTGGGGATTGTACCTCTTTCAACAATGTTGTAGGGTCAGGACTCACCTTTTCTCAGTCTGTTCACTCTCTGTCCCCTCCAGTTTGATGGTTTCTGAAAGAGACAAAAACAACTTCAGAAAATGTATTGCCCATAAATACTAAAAGAGGGAAAGTTTGAAGAGGCTCCTAAGTCCTAGGACTCAGAGAGAAATCATTGTTGCCATATATGTGGAATAGATGGTTCCTTGATGAAATTTCATGGGGACTGAGAAGGAGCTTCCTTCATCCAAAAAGTAAAGGCCTTCTTTTGTTCATTGTACCTTAAGTTCTAATGTTGGGAATAGGTTTTACTTACAGCTCTATTCTTTACTAAACTAAAAATACTACTGGGAGGTATAATACATTTAGTTTTAGCAATCATTTAGTGATGGGGAAAAAAGTTTCCAATCCTTTTCTGAAAGTAAGGTTTAGAAGGAGGAGGAAAAGGAAATCTTGCAGATGTTGGTGACTAAATAGGTTAGCCAGCTGGTGCTACCAAATAATACACAAGGTTGCATGGAGAGGTTCAAGTGGGAAATTTCTAGTGGGCTAGACCTCCCAAAGCCTGAGTTCCTACTGGCATGGACTTAACTACTGATGCAACTTTGGGTGAAAATTCCTCTATGTTGACTGTTATGACCGTGCTGTTGTCCCGGTCTGCGCCTTATAGCAGGGGTTGTTAACCCAGGGTCCATGGAGGAATTTAGGGACTGCAGCAATCCTTTCAACAACACCCCTGATGGTTTTGAACACTTCCTATCTTTGGCAGTTCTCTTTGTGTGTGCATATGTGTGTGTGTTTAAAAATAATCAGTTTTATTGAGGTAAAATACACAGTAAAATCCAATCATTTTCCATACAGATTTTGATGAGTTTAACAAATGTATGCAGTCATGTAACTACCACCACAACCAAGATATAGAACATTTATATAAGCCCAACGAGTTCCCTCCAGCCCCTTTTCAATCAATTCCTTCCCCCCACCCCATCCCCTGTAACCACTGATCTGCTTAATGCCACAGTAGTTTTGCTTTTTCTAGGATTTCATGTAATGTGTAGTCTTTTCGTGCCTAGTGTCTTTCATGTAGCGCAATGCTTTTGAAATTCATTCATGTTGTTTCATGTTACCAGTAGTCCATTCCTTTCTATAGCTCAGCAGTATTTCACTGTATGTATATAGCACCATTTGTTTATCCATTCACCAACTGCAAAAATTCAGGATGCCAGATTTTCAGTATTATGAAGAAAGCTGCTATGGACATTTGTGTGTGTGTGTCTGTGAAGACATATGTCTTTATTTCTCATGGGTAAATATCAAGGATTGCTGAGTTGTATAGTAGAGCATAAGAATTTCAGTTGCTTCACATCCTCTCCAACATCTGATATTTATCAGTCCTTTTAATTTTAGCCATGTTAGTGGGTATGGGGTGGTATCTCATTATGGTTTGAATTTGTATTTCCCCAACGACTAATGGTGTTATGACTGTGTAACTGTGCTTATGGGCCATTTGTGTATATTTTTATGTGAAGTATCTATTCAAGTCTTTTACTTTTTGCCTTTTGTTATATGGATTGTCTTCTCATTACTGAGTAGTATTATATAAGTATGCATTCTGGTTATAAGTCCTTTATTATATTTATATTTTGCAAGCATTTTGTCCCAGTCTGTGTCTTGACTTTTCATTTTCTTAAAGTCAAAGGGCAAACATTTTTAATTTTGATGAAGTTCAGTTTATCAATCTTATCTTTTTATAATACAGTTTATGCTTACCATGTCCTATCTGAGATTTGCCTAACCTAAGCTCACAAAACTTTTCTTCTATGTTTTCTTTCAAAAGTTTTTAATTTTAGCTCTTATTTTAGGTTTATGATCCACTTCAAGTTATTTTTTGGGGTGTCTAGGTTCATACTTTCCCATGTGGATATCTAACTGACCCGATACCATTTGTTGAAGACTATCCTTTCTGCATGGAATTAACTTGGCACTTTTGTCAAAATCAGTTGACAAAATCATATTTTTTGACTCTCCATTTTGTTCCATTGGTCGATATGTCTGTCCTTTCACCAGTGTCACACCTTGACTACTATAGCTATATAATAAATCTTGAAATTAGGTAGTATAAGTCCTCCATCTTTGTTGTCATGTTTCAGAATTGTTTTGGCAATTGTAGATCCTTTGCATTTCCACATAACTTTTAGAATAAACTTTTTAATGTCCACTAAGGAGCCTGCCAGGATTTTGATTGATAGTGCATTGAAACCAAAGATCAGTTTGGGAGAACTGGTATCTTAATAGTTAGTCTTCTAAACCATGGACACAGCATAACTCTCCATTTATTTAGGTCTACTTTAACTTCTGTCAGTAGTAATGTTTTTTAGTTTTCAGTATACATACAGGTCTTGTACTTGTTTTTAAAAATTAATTCCAAAGCCTTTAATATTACTTGATGCTACTATAAATGGTATTAAAAAATTCAGTGTACAATTGTTTGTTGTTAGTATGTAGAGAAACAATAGATTTTGTGTATTGACCTTGTATCCTGATACTTTGCTACACTAAATCAGTTGTAATAGCTTTTAATGGATTCCTTAGGCTTTTCTACAAACATGATCATGTCATCTGCAAAATAAGGCAGTTTTACTTCTTTCTTTCCAATATGTATGCCTTTTATTTCTTTTTCTAGAGTTGTGGCACTGGCTAGGACCTCCAGTACAAGGTTGAACAGAAGCAGTGAGAGTGACATCCTTGCCTTATTCCTGATCTTAGGTGAAAGCAATCAGTCTTTTATCATTAACTATGATGCTAACTAAAGGATTTTAGTAGCTGTTCTTTGCCAAGTTGAGGAAATTCTTTTGTATTCCTACTTTTATGAGAGTTTATCTTTCTTTTTAAAAATTATGAATGGGTATTAATTTTGCCAAATGCTTTTTCTGTATCCATTGACACGTATTCTGTATCCACATGATTTCTCTTTTCAGTCTGTCAATAGGTGAGTTTTATTGCTTGGTATTTGGATGTTAAACTTACCTTATATTCCTGGAATAAACCCCACTTAATCATGATGTATAATACTTTTAATACATTGCTAGATTTCAGTTGCTAATTTTGTTGAGCATTTTGGCATCTATGTTCACAAGGGATATGTGTAGTTTTCTTTTCTTGTAATGTCTTTTTCTAGTTTTGGTATTAGGGCTCCCCCTGCCTTCAGAGCAGCCTAGAAACCGACTCCAGGCAGTAAGTTGTGGAAAATCATAGGGTTCACCTTATCTTTTCCCTTCTCTCAGGGACTATAGTTTTCTGTAGCCTGTTGTCCAATATCTGAAAACAGTTGTTGCATATATTTTGTCTGATTCTAGTTGTTTACGGCAGGAGGGCAATTCCTGTAGCAGTTAAGCCTTAATGGGAGGAAGGAAAAGTCTGTGTCTTCTATATAATTTTAAAAGAGCTTTAACTGTTAGAAAAGTCTCTTATTTCCTTCTACCTTCTTATAACCTTCATCGAGATACCCTTTAGAGCCTCAGTTAAGTATGATCTTTGCACCCTATGGCAGTTTTTAGATATTTAAAGGCAGCACTTGTGTCCTCCCCAAGGCTTTTTTTTCCCCCCTGGCTGAGCATTCTGAGTTATTTCAGATATTTCTTTCTTTTTTAAAATACATCTTTATTGGAATAAAACCACTTTACAATGCTGTATTCGTTTCTGTTGTACAACAAAGTGAATCAGCCATATACATGTATATATATCCCCATATCGCCTCCCTCTTGAGCCTCCCGCCCACCCTCCCTATCCCACCCCTCTTGGTCATTGTAAAGCACCGAGCTGATCTCCCTGTGCTATGCAGCAGCTTCCCACTAGCTGTCTATTTTACATTTGGTAGTGTATATATGTCAATGCTACTCTCACTTCGCCCCAGCTTCCCCCACCCCACCCGCCATGTCCTCAAGTCCATTCTCTATGTCTGCGTCCATATTCCTGCCCTGCCACTAGGTTCATCAGTACCATTTCTTTTTAGATTCCATATATATGTGTTAGCATACGGTATTTGTTTTTCTCTTTCTGACTTACTTCACTCTGTATGACAGACTCTAGGTCCATCCACCTCATTACAAATAGCTCAATTTCGTTTCTTTTTATGGCTGAGTAATATTCCATTGTATATTTGACTGATCTTCCAGATACTTTGTAAATCTAATTACGTTCTATTTTTGTCAAAGTTCCTCTTAAAAATAATGGTGCTTATAGTGAATACAGTATTTCAGGATGTCTGTACACCAACACAAATAATATTATCCTTTCATACTCATGACAAAATCACCACTGTTTTTTTTTTTTAAAAAAGCTTCTTTTTAAAAATGAAAGCAAACAATAAAAAGACAGCTTCTAAACTTTTGGATTTGATTACAAATTTAGCATTTTGAAGAGTAGATATGATGATATCACCTGGTTTCAGTTTTTAAGCCCTGTGAAACTTTCTGTTTAAATGGTGGTTAAAAATAATTTATTTTGGAAAAGACATTTGCCCTTTAAGAAATCATTCCTGAAAGAGCTGAGACTCTTCCAAATTTGGAGGAGGGAGGCAAGTTGTAAAAATTGTAGGTTGCTAGGCACTATTACAATACAGATTTTAGTCAGACAAGAACCAAATGAGGAAGTAAAACTTCAGGAGGAGCTATTTTAGTCTTTCTCCCCAATGGGTAAGCTGAGAGGGTAACTTCTGATTGGGAAAAGACAGTAATTGAAGGTTACAATTTCTCATGCTTTAACTGCCCTACTTGACAAAACAAAAAAGGAGAAGAGAGATTAGAAACCAGCTAGAACAACCATGGCATTTCCCTTTTATTCATTTAACAGCCTAAACAGGGTAAATATGTACGGTTGAGGAATAGAAAAACTGTAACTACTGAACAATCACTGGAAAGGACTTTTGACACCAGGTTAGTTAGTTGGAGGGCTGTCTCCTCTGAGAAAAGGATTAATATTGGATTAAGAGGAAGCTGCACTGTTGGAAAAATTTCTACTCATCAGTAAGCTTGTGTCTCTGTGGATGGGTCATGACTGTTTCCATGTTTGTCTACTGGCAGAATTTAGTTCCTTGTGGACTGAGATCCCCATTTCCTTGCTGGCTTTCAGCTGGGGGCTATTTCCAGTTTCTAGAGGCCACCCACATTTCTTGGCTTACGGCCCCTTCCTCCATCTTCAAGGTCAGCAGTGGTGCGTTGAGCCTGTCTCAAGCTTTGGATCTCTCCTCCTTCCATTTCCTCTTTCTAATCCAGGTAGGAAAGATCCTGTGACTCATGTGATTAGATTGGGTCTACTTGGATAATCCAGGATAAACCCATCATTTTAAACTCAGTATTTAATCACGTATGAAAAGTCCTTTTTGCCATGTAGGATAACATGTTACAGATTCTGGGGTATATGAGGTGGATATCTTGTTGGTGGCATTATTCTGCCTATCGTACAGCCAATGCCAGGGGTATCCACAAACAAGTGCAGACATTGCTAAAGTTACCAAACCCAGTTTTACAAACATCTCATATCTACGTGGCATGGTTACTTGGTACATCTCCCTCCTCCAGTAATATCAAGGCTCTTCTCTTTGACCAAACTTACTGGCACATGTGACTATCTGACCAAACAACTTTTTTTTTTTTTTTTTGGCGGTACGTGGGCCTCTCACTGTTGTGGCCTCTCCCGTTGCGGAGCACAGACTCCGGAGGCGCAGGCTTAGCAGCCATGGCTCACAGGCCCAGCCGCTCCGCGGCATGTGGGATCTTCCCAGACCGGAGCACGAACCCGTGTCCCCTGCATCGGCAGGTGGACTCTCAACCACTGCGCCACCAGGGAAGCCCCAGACCAAACAACTTTTATCTACCAATATTCTTTATCACATTCTTGAGGGGGTCGTATATGTACTATGCTCTCTTGTGGTCTTCTGCCTTTTAATACTCATAGCTCAATTTGACCATCTCAAATGCAACAGACACCCTTACAACTCTCTCATGTGTACAGACACATCCTCTTTAACTCCCTTTATCTAGTCTCCTGAATTTTTCTGATTGCTTTTTTAGGGGAAGAAACATTTTACTTGGCTTTTCTCCATCCCTTTTCTTTGTTTCGTTTGTAAGCTAATCATTCCAATGCAAAACCAAATTTAGGAGACAGCTTATTTCCAAGCAGAAGGTTGCTTCTGCACATTTAGCTAATTCTAAATGGCAATGAGATTGACAGAAAGAGAAGTTCAAAACACTCACTTTGAAAAGTCAAAGCCTGGACAAGCATGATATATCTGTACATCTGACCCTGCACTGTGAATTTTACACTTTTGTATCATAGAAATCTCTCGGTATACCCTGTACTTTGGCAGTTTGAACGGCTCTGCTATAAGCTTTGTGTTAATGTATTGAAACTGGATTAGCACTCCTAAATTTCTTGTTTTTGGAATACAGCTGGATGAAATGAATGGCTGCTAATGTCATCCGTCTATTTTCTAGATGGATCTTAAAATCAGTACCCTGAAATCTTAAGATGCTGACCAGAAGCCTTACTCATCTTGTGCTTGTTACCATAAGCGAGTAAGAAGATTTTACCTTAATTATTAGCACCAACCAAACTTTTACTGGAGGCAGTTACTGAGATAAAGTCCAAGCGTATCTTACAACTTCATCCAAACCAGCCCAAACCACAAACAGGCATGGGATTCTTATAAAGTCAGGGACCACTTTGCCCCCCATTAAACACAGGGCATTTTTACAACAGACGTCAGCGGGGAGGCAGCTCAATGCGGTGCTGTTTAAAATAGCAAAACTATGGGAACAACCCAACTGTCCCACAATATGGACTTGGTTAAATAAATTAAGGTGTATCCACATAACGGAGTATCTTGCAGCCATTTTAAATGATGCTGTAGAATAATACTTAGTGACACTGAAAATATTCTTCCAACATTTAGTATAAAAAAGTTAGAAAACAGTACCTGTTATATTATTCAAATTGTGAAAAACAGTCCTCATAATACTGTCCCACTTATGGAAAAATAACAGGTTAATACATAGAAAAATCTGGAAGTTATACACTAAAAAGTCAGCATAATCATTTTTTCTTACTAGTAGAACTGTAGGTGATTTTTATTTTCAGTATATTTGGTAATGGATATGTACTACTTGGTAATCCATATGAGTTAATATTATTTTTTAAAGTCAGTGGGAAATAGTTCATCTAACTTACTTCTCGGTAAACCGAGACTCTTAGAGATGAGAAGGCAAATCTTATGGTCACCTAATCCTCCCCTTCTCCCACTAAACATTCCTGCTTGAACATCATCAGGTCCATAATCGTGAACATTTAGAAGTGTTTTCACCATTTTACTTCATTGAATTCTCACAGTAACCTCATGAAATAAAGTAGGTAAGGCAAGGAATCATCAGCTTTGTTTGGAAACCAGAAGTACATTTGTAAACCTTAGGTTAGAAGTGTTGCCTTTCCTGGAAATCCAGGCAACCTTATCAGCTGCTGAGTCCATATGGGCTTGAAACCCTGAGGGAACCTTTTCCTCCAAACACCTGCTGACTTTTTGCCAGCCTGGGCTCAGCCAACGAGCTCCAGAAGGCAGCTGATTGGGAAGTTAGCTGCAAAGTGGCAATCTGCAGAGGACATGCACTGACTCACCACATTCTTTAGAGGGGCCAGCCTGCGGCTTCTTCCTTTTCTTTAGTGTTAGAAAGAACACCATCCCACACACAACGACCAATGTTACAAGTAGAGCTGCAATCCAGAGGATGTGGTCTGGGACAGGGGGGCTTGGCACAGGTGGCTTTGCATCTAAAAATGAACCCAAGTTTTCAATCAGCCAGGAAGGTTGATTATAAAAGCTTTATAATTGCTGCTCTTCTCTTTATTTGCATGCCAGAATCTCCTCAGGGCTCTCCTGCCAGAGCAGCCTGAAATCCACGTGATTTGGGCCATAGAAAATCCCAGTCTCAGGGCCTCGGCAGCTGACTGAGAACCAAGCCAGCGACTCTGACCAAGTGCCTGGACTGAGCTGCCTTGCCTTCCCTTCCCACAGACTGAGACGACAATGACCATGATCTAGAAGAGGGTCACCTTGGCCCTTGGTTCTGGAATCTGGGTAATGTACCTGTACTGAGGCTCTGAAGGTACAGTCATCTGGGCAGCATCCGGCTTCCTCAGCCCCCTATGTGGTCAGGCCCCAAGTTTTTTGGTTTTTTGTTTTGTTTTGTTTTGTTTTGTTTTTTGCGGTACAGGGGCCTCTCACTGTTGTGGCCTCTCCCTGTTGTGGCCTCTCCCGTTGCGGAGCACAGCCTCCGGACGCGCAGGCTCAGTGGCCATGGCTCACGGGCCCAGCCGCTCCGTGGCATGTGGGATCTTCCTGGACCGGGGCACGAACCCGTGTCCCCTGCATCGGCAGGCGGACTCTCAGCCACTGCGCCACCAGGGAAGCCCTGGGCCCCAAGTTTTGACGTTTCTCTTATAGTAATTCCTCCATCCACTATCATCTCTAAATCAGGCTCCAGACACCTGTCACCCGGACAAACATAGCAGCCTCTTTACAGGCACCCATCTCCAGCTTTGTTTGTTCTTTCCCCTGATGTCTGGGTGGACTTCCTCAAGCATGGCGTTCAGCCTCTCTCTCCTACTGGAAAACTTTTGATATGTCTTCATGCCCTGAGGATCAGGGTCAGAATCAGCTCCTGGGAAGTCAGGACTTACTTCCTTGCACAAGGACTCCTAAACTTATGGGAAGTTAAAAAACAGGCTTTGGGTGGAAAAATTAGGACTGAGTGGCCCATGTTATAGACATTTATGGGAAGAGGTCTGGTAGTTAATCTCAAATTACAGGAGAATAGGACCAGCTGACCTTCCATTAGCTTAGGGGCATTTTGTGGACCGATGCCCTGTTTCTGGGACCTTAAGAAAAGGAATTGTTGGTACTGCAGGCCACATTCAACACTTTTTGAGTCTATCCCAGTTTAATCTCACTTGAACCTGTTTGGCATCCCAGTGAAGGAGGGTAATACTTGTTAACATGGAGGCTGCTACCTTTTGATACCCCAAAAGATTCCTTGACACAGGGCCTAACCTATATCTTATCTAGCCCCATTTTCCTGAGGCAGCTAGAGCTGAAACATTTCTGAACATGGCGGCAGCTAGGAAGGTTTTGGCAGCGGCTGAGAAATGGCAGAAAGGTGAGCCATGGTGAGGCTCTAGTGGTGGCGAGGCTCTGTTCCTGTGGGAGTCATGGCAGAAAGCCCCAGGGTGTGTCATGTGTGGTGATGTTGGCAGTGCCAAGAAGGTGCTAAATTTCAGGACAGCATGGGAGAGGCTTCTATCAGGCCAAGAGAGGCTACAGTGGAAGCAACCAGGACAGACAGGGTGACCTCGCCAGTTACTGAACTGTCAAGAGTCAGAGGTGTCTGATCAGAAGGAAATCAGCACCTGCACAGGGGACTGGCCCACTGGTACAGCTAAGCTGACTGGTGGGGACTGGCCCCAGGGGCTGTCCGTAAGAATGCATCAAGAGGCCAAGTTATGTTTGAACAATGAAACACCAGGAGAGGGGAGGCATTAAAGCCAGAGGATGGAGCAAGGAGCTGGATGGATGCCTTAGGAGGGGGCAAACCAAGGGGCCAGAGTTGGAGGAGGGGCCAAGGCAAACAGAAGGCAGATGGGTGGGGGGAGGGGTCAGGATCAGAGCAAGCAGTGTTGAAGGCAGTGTGGGTACAGAGTGCCTTTATTGCAGGAGAGACTCTTGCAATTACTGCTCCTCAAAAGTGGGGTCTCAAGTATGGATGTATTCTAGGGCAAAGCCAGGAATTTAAAATGGCAGGCTCCTATTAGTGTACACGGCTTAGTTTCAACCCTTTCCCAGTGGGATTGGCCCCCATACTACACTGTCAACATGCCACAAGCATTTCTGCTTCTGCATATTTCCTTGACACATGTGTGCTGATGGCCACCACTGCCTGTGCCCATGGCAGATACTGCTAATAGATTGTGGCCCTCTCACCTCCCAAGCCTGAATGCTGTTTCAGAATTTTTCAGAAGCTACCACAAGTTTGAGTACCTGTCATCTCTTTATCACACTTATTAAGCCCAGTTATTTCTGTTATGGTAATATAAGGTCCCATGTCCTTTAGGAAGCCTTCACTGACCCTCAAGGAACTTGCCTATCTCTGAATGCTTATAAATCTTATTATCAGGCACTCTTGTTTTTAAATTTAGTTGTATATTCCCATGGGATATAATTTAGATTCTAATTCAGTCCTTTTACAATCCAATTTACCATGTGTGTCCATTGTGGAGTTCTGATTCTATTAGAAGGGCAGAGAGCGTGTCTTATACCTTTTGGTTTTCTCCCCTGAAACCAACAATGTTTAGAATGGTTTTGTACTCATAACAAGTGCTATATGTATATATGAATGTGTGCGTGTGTGTGTTTTAATGAGTGGAAGAATTTTAGCCTGGAGAAATCCTGGCATCTTCTAACCTAAGCTTCAGAATCTTCTATCTAAAGGTAGCCCAAAAGACTGGGCCAGTGTCAAGGCTAAGAACATGCTTCCTCAAGAGCGGCATAGGTTCATAGCCTCTTGGACCTTGTAGCACTCAGATGAAACAAGAGCCCTCTGTCTGGGTCTTTCCTAACAGTATGAAAATGGCCCAGTTGGAGGTTTCCTGGCAAGCAGGGGACACTGGATGATCTGCCTTACCCATCTGTGTATAATACCTGATAAAAGAAACTGTCAGGCTTACCTATATTGCAAGGTGGTGAGAAAAGCAGTGTCTTCGTTGGCTCAAGTTGCAAGACACAGAAGATGCTCACATTTGTTTCAGGAGGGATGGAAAAAGACATGCTGATAGAAATGTTGTACAGTTCTGTGATATTATTTTGAGATTTCTTCATGACAGTGTCATACTCAGTAGTAGAATTCTTAGTTTTTACCAATATATACATCCTCTGAGGTTCTGGGTAACCTTGTGTAGATGAGCAGGTCAAATTTATGATGTTAGAATTTTCTGTTTGATTAGGAATTAGATTTATTTCTGGTTGACTGAAGTTAGCTGAATGCAGAATAGAGATACAAAAAAAAAACAGAAATCAGTTTAAATTTAGATGTATCTAGAAGGGAACAACAAATAACTAGGTATCCTGGGAACTCACTGGGGGCACACCTGGCAGGCCTCAGGGTGTCTAAATTGTGGGCCTCAGCCCACGGTGAGAGCCACATAATGATCCCACATTTATTTTTCAGGAATGGAGTTGGGGCCACCATGCTTACTTCCCGCTGACCCCAATCAAGGATGTGCTCTCTGAGCAACAGGAGGGGCTCTCTGAGCAACAGGAGGGCTAGCTCCTTCTGCCAGCCAAATCCCTTGCTCTTCTTCTGTAGTCAGTAGGTACTGTGCAGGTTCTACATACTAATTTATAATTTAGTATATTGTTTCTAAAACTTCAGTGATTAGCATGATATTGTTACAAGTTTTGCTATATCCAACTACTCCTTAAGCGCTCTGCTTGTACATGATGTGGCCGGTGGAAGGTAGATTGCCATGGTGTTACCTACTTTAAACCTCATTAACAATAATTAATCTGGACCTAGTAATCCCACACCTGGGTATCTACTCTAGAGAAATGAAAACTTACGTTTACACAAAAAATTTGTGCATGATTTTATACAGCAAATCTATTCATAATAGCCCCAAACTGAAAACAACCCAATGTCTTTCCATGGGTTGAGTGGATAAACAAAATGCTACTTAGTAATAAGAAGGAACAGATTTTTGATACGTGCAACAACTTGGATGACTCTCAAAGTCATTACGTTAAATAAAAGAAGCTGGTCGTAAAAGGTTACATACTGTGTGACTTCATTTATGTGATATTCACACAAAGATAAGACCATAAGTTGCAAAACAGGGGTTATGGGTATAGAGAGGGTATGACTATAAGGGCATAGCATGGGGAAATTTTTTTAGGGTGCTGAAAATGATTTGTATCCTGTTTATATTGCTGGTTATACAAACCTATACATAAGTTCATATTAATAGAACTGTATGCCAAAATAAAAATAATTTTACTGTATTTTAATTTTAAAAAGTCTGTAGTGACATTTAGGTTTTTCAAGGCCTGGAAAAACAAGGGAGCTGTTTTGTCAGCTTTCGGGTTGTGTGCCTTGGGTTATTTCCCTCCTGTCTACTGGGCTTATGGTTGGACCGCAAACAAGTCATAAGCAACCTCCAGGAGGCCGAAGGGAAATCCCAAATCAGCCAGCTGTCACCCTTGGTAGGAGCTCCAGGCAAAGATTTAGTGGGTGAGAATTCTTGGACTAAAGGAGAAAATGAATGTAAAAGAGATTTGAGACCTATATGGTTCATATAAACTTAAGGGCCAAATCACCCATGGTTTTCACTTAGCCACATTACCTTGGTTTCCTTAGTTCTATCTGGTCCCCAAAGCAGATTCTTACAGATCATTCAGAAGTAAACTATAAAAAGTACGAAGGACTTTTAGTTCCCTCCTCCCAAGCCCCGCACTCCCTTCAAACGGGCTTCCCAGAATTGGCTGTCCTCTGCCTCTCTCGAGGCGGCCCTCTCCCCCACCTATTGCAGTCTCATCTGAGAAGTCCCCGGATCTGAACGCGCCATTGGCTACATACCCAGCACTGACAGGTCAGAGCTCATCTGGTAGGTGGGAATCAGTCCTTGGGGTCCTTTATGATGGATGAAACATTGATACGAGCCCTTGTCCTTGATCTGAACGTTGTGGAGTCGCAGTGTCCAACTGTCCTGGTCAAAGCTCGTGCGGCCTATATACTTGGGATTAACATTGTGAGGAATCTCTTGGCCTCTGTACAGCTCATAGAGAACCAACTTATTCTGGTCCTGCCAAAATATCACCAGGTCATCCAGGCTTAGGTTTTGCGAGTTTGGAAAGTGGCATGGCAGGTCTCCAGTCTCATTGAAAAATGCCTGACTTTCCAAGGAAGCAGCACCTAAAAGAAGGAAAGGTGGACAGTGGGGAAAGAGACACAAAAGGGAAGAAAGAAAGAAAGAAAAAAAAAAACCAGAAACTCCATTTCTCTTTATACAATACCCAGATGCTATCTTATCAGTAATGATCTTGAAGAAGTAGATATTAAACTCTGGAACTGTGCATACACATTGGCATGTGCAGAAAGGAAGGGGCTTTTGTCCTCACTCTACTGATAACTAACTGGGTGGCCTTGTGCAAACTGCAACGCCTATGAGGTTCAGTTTCCTTATCTGTTTAATGAAGGGGTTGACTAAATGTTCTAAGGTTCTTTCCAGTACTATGGTTCTGTGAATTTAAATCCGAGAACAGAGAAAATCAGCAAAGTTAGACAACTCATTCACCCATTGGTTACTTCCCTATAATCTGAATATTGATCCTCTTCACTCTAGCTGTTACAGTCTCCATTACTTCTTCACCATGACCAAAAGCTCCCTATCTCCCCTCCCCATCCCCTTATTCCTTGGCCTGCTGTGGTGAAAAGAGTTCCGATATCCCTCCTTTCATTATGCCTCGGTAGCTGGGGATCACAGTGACTAATATCTTTGAAATTCAAATAGTTCCCTTTATAGACTTTCCCTCATGACTGCTGCTCCCATGGCCAGCTCTCCCAAGGGTAAAAACAGTTTGGAAATGACACAAATGGTCAACCAAGGCCTCTATTCTGTGACCTCTCTAAGCTCTTTCGGAGATCAGAAAGAGAACTGGGCAGATTTGATGGTTGTTTTGGGATTGTGGTGGTCGAAGACCATTTAAGGTACATGAATGAAATGCTGGAAATGAGTCATAAATGGGAAGGTGAGGATGTACTTTTGGAGTACTGGGGAATCCCCAGGTACCACAGACTTGCTCTGCCCAGGATGCATTGCTTTTGGAAATGTTTTCAACCCCTGGAGAATGTGCTGGGAGAGTTCAGAGAAATGCTTTCATCCCTGAGGGCATATTGGGGTTTGTGGAGGGATTTGGGTCTCCTCACTCCTTAAATGTGATTGCTTGTAGGGTTTCTGTAGGACCTATTCTGGATCACAGAATTACTTGAGACCCGGCCAAGAAATTAAGTAGTGGTGAGTGAGAAGTGCAGGGTTAGGGGAGAAATGCTGTTTCTTAGTTAATATGAAGTTAGACGCCACCCTGGGGAGGGAGTTAGGATGGGTTCTAAGTAAAGCTTCATCATTCCAGACTTCAGTGAAGGGATGTTGACATTAAGGAGGAAAGGAGAAGCAGGTTGGTGAGGGAGATGAGAGGAGTTATCTGAGGCGTTCTTTGAGGGGTGGCAGGAGAAATTAAATTGATCTGATCAATAGGGTTCTCTTCTAAGAGGGAGTAGAAGAGAAATAACAGTGACATGCACTTGGTGAAATTGAACTGTGTGCAGAGTGGCCCAGTGAGAACCATAATCAAGGGGGTGGGTGCCTGGGGTGGTCTTGAACTCTATGGGAAGGGACTCCAGGCATCAGTGAGAGTCAGCACAAGTTTGAATCACTGCCTATTGCATTACACTCACTAGAAGCCTGTGAAGCTCTTGAAAGCAGAAAGTACAGTCTGTACAAAATGCATTCCCATATTGGAGGGAGGCGGGAAAATCTACCTGGGTACCTGGAACAGCGAAAGGGGGACCTAAAGAAGTCTTACTGTGTTCAGTAACTACTTATCAGGCACTCCTGGGGTGCTGCTACTCCTCTGCTAAACTCTGAATGATAATGTAAGGGTGTCACCTACTGTAAAAGCTTCTAGCAACTATCTCTGGGGAAATTCATGCTGGTTTTATCACTAACTTGCCATATGATATAGAGCAGATGGCCTGGTGGGGAAACCAAACACATAGTTGAAAATTCTGCCAGTTAACAGTCACCATTATGTTATTATTCAGCAGTGCCTCTGGCCTGGAAATGACTTTGCCTTTGGCTTCTTCTGTCTTCCTGACTTAGGGTTGCTTCTCTACAGAGCCTCACAGAGCCTCTTCTCCTGCCCACCCACTCTCTCCACTCACAGAGGGGTCCAAGACCCAGGCTCCCTCTCCCAAAGATTATATGGAATTTTTCTTCCACCCATGTAACTGCTCCCCTCTCACCTGCCAACCGAAAGTGTGGTCTGTGCTCTAAAGGCATCGGCATCCCCAAGGCGATGCAGAATCCCTGGCCCCACTCCAGACCTTCTGAGTCAGAATCTGCATTTTTAACAGACCTCCAGTTTGAGAAGCTGCAACAGAGTATTTCTATCTCTGCCTCCAGAGTGGAATAGAGAGATGACGGAACAAGAAAAATTTGTTTCCATCCATCCTTCCCCAAACCCTCTCTCTTCACCCTGGGGTGGAAATCACGCTGAAGTCCATTCTGAGTGGAACTGAAAGTATTTCACAACTTACTCCATAGTTCCTCGCCAACCACTGGCTTCCATGACATCACTTAGAGCTACGTATGCTAATTGCCTCTCTGATGATATGGGAAAACTTAGCTCAAAGTCCGTTTTTTCTAAGTGGCTTCAGGCCTCCCCTGTTATGACCCTAAACCTTAGGCCACCCAGCTACGGGACTTGCTGGGCTCCCCTGGAGGGTAAGCATTGAGATTCTCTCTCTTTCCTAGCACTTGAGTCATAGAAATGTTCTGGGTCTAGTTAAAACTGGTTGCTATGATGATGTTAGGAGCTAGGCACTCAAGAATCCATCTAGACACCTCCCTAATCAGCTGAAGACATTTCTTTCAAAGGATACTTGAGGACGTCATCAGCAAGAAACTGTTTGGCTGTCAGACAAAAACTACAGTCTTCTAACTTTGTGAGGTCTCTGACCCCACCTGGGACTTCAGTCTTCCCCAGCTACTACCCCGCATGCATGTCTTATGTATTCTAGGGTCATATCTGCCTCATATTACTATGCTTATCTGTACTCATGAATTTCCCTTCTTTTACTAAACTTCCTCCAGAGCTTTACTAGGCCCTATGGAAGCCTCATTCCATTGTAATAAACTCCTCTATGTCTTCAACCTCTTCATCAAATGTTTCCCCCAGGGTTGTGCTTTCATTGAAATCTGGTCCAACCCAAAGAATGTCGCATGCCTCCAGCCGCTGCTTGTTTTATCACACATCAGAGGGACCTTGAGCAGCACTCTTCCCCTTTTGAGGTGTTCTCCTCCCTCACTGCTGTTAGCTACTAATCATTTGTCACTACTTCCTTGCTCACTGAAGATTTTTGGCATTAGATGCAAGGTCTTTCTTTCCAATCAGTTATTCCTATCAAATTGGGTGACTTTGGCATGGATGAGTTTACCAACACCCTTGCCTCAAAGTTCTTTGATCTTTCCCACTTCAAAGATCTTCATCCACAGGCTATTTCAGCAGCCCCTTTCCCATGACATAATCTTAAACCTTATCACCAAGAACACCTCTGCCCCTAGAATCTTAAACCTCAATGTACCAATCTCTGTCCACAAGATATTTTCCACCAAGATTTGCTCTTGATTCTACCTACATCTGTTCTTCAACTTTATTAAGACCTCAGCTCTGTCCAGTCTAGGCCCTATAATGCAGTGCTTTCCAAAAGCACTCTCTTAATAGGTAGCTAGTATGACTGAGAAACTGAATTTCCATCTTATTTAATTTTAACTAATTTAAATTTAAATAGCCACATGTGGCCGGTGGCGGTCATATTGTTTGCACAGTGATAGAATATTTTTTCAATCATTCTCTTGCAAGCAACTTCAATAAACTTGCCCCTTTGTGCAGATTTCATCCCAAGAGCAATCTACTTTTGATCTGCGTATCTGTTCCTTATGACTGAATGTTTGAGCACTCCTGGAGGAAATTATGCAGTTGATCAGGCTGGTGACATTACAAATTGGTAGTCTGTAGTTCCACTTAACTTGGCCTCTGAGCTGCTCGCCCTGCTCACCACCCTCTCCCTTCCTCACAGCACTTACTTCAGCAGTACCCTCTGCTACTGCTTTTAGTTTCTCTTTCTCCTATTTTTTTAAACATGTTTATTGGAGTATAATTGCTTTACAATGGTGTATTCGTTTCTGCTGTATAACAGAGTGAATCAGCTATACATATACATCCATCCCCATATCTCTTCCCTCTTGCGTCTTCCTCCCATCCTCCCTATCCCACCCCTCTAGGTTGTCACAAAGCACAAAGCTGATCTCCCAGTTCTGAGCTGATCTCCCTGTTCTATGCTGATCTCCCTGTGCTATGTGGCTGCTTCCCACTAGCTATCTGTTTTACATTTGGTAGTGTATATATGTCCATGCCACTCTCTCACTTTGTCCCAGTTTACCCTTCCCCCTTCCCGTGTCCTCAAGTCCATTCTCTAGTAGGTCTGTGTCTTCATTCCCATCCTGCCCCTAGGTTCTTCATGACCTTTTTGTTTTGGATTGCATATATATGTGTTAGCATACAGTATTTGTGTTTCTCTTTCTGACTTACTTCACTCTGTATGACAGACTCTAGTCAGCTCTCTGAAAGAGTAAGTGGAGATTGCTGCCTCCACCCCCAGCCTCTGTCCCCACCTCTGTGCTGAAACTTCCCTGGCAGATGTTGTCAGTGGCTTCCCCCCACTGCCAAACGCAGAACACTTTTCAGACCTCATCATCTCTGACCACGCTGTTGAATGCCACACTATTAGCCATCTCTCCTTCTGAAACTCTATTCTTTCCCAACCTCTGACATACTGGTCAGTTTTCTCTCATCACTCCTTAAATGGTGACTAGGGCAGGGATGGTTCTCCAGGAGTTTTCATGGCTGATATGGTATTTCTGTTAAGATTAGCTTTGCTTTGATCTCATGCTCACCATGGATCCCACTATAGGTATAAATATAATGTATATACAATTGTGTATATTTATATATTATAGATATATAATGTGTATATTTTATAAAATATAGAACTATACTATATGTTATATGAAATACGATCTATTAAAATATATGGAGCATCATATAATGTAAAATGTAAAATGTAAAACACAT